AAGGATGAGAGGAGTGATTACCCAAACAGATTTCCAACTGAGATTGATGAAGAGAGATGGCCGCGGTCGATCAATGGAGAGCTGCGGGCGACCGTGAAGGAGAAATCGACAATTTTGGGAAAATTTTCGAATGGGGGAAGAGGAAGAGGGTCGGGTTTATTGAGATGAAGAAGGAGCGGCTCAGATCAGTTTAGAAATAGGATCAATGGTTATGATTGATTCGGGTTTAGAAAGATTAACCAAATAAAACCGAAACCCGATAACAAAATGAGCAGAAAACAAAAAGGATTTCTGGCGGTCGACCGTGACAATCTCAGAAACTTTTACGGTCGACCGTGGTGGTCGACCGCGAGAAAAATAAAACTAAAATCATTGTAAAATCTGGGTTTTTGTGAAAATTTTATTTTAGACCTTAGTAAAAATTTGTTTTATGAGATATTATATATAAAAATATATATTAGCTAGTAGTACAAGAAAATATTTTATTTTAACTTAATAAAAACAAAATCACCATTAAAACTCAAAAACAACTATAAAACAAAAATCACAACGATAGTTATGAAATAAAACTCATTTTGGTACCCCAAATCATTTTGATACCACTAAAATTTGGGACATGACCCCTATCATGTAAATCCAAGGCCCTATGATGATGAACCCGCTTGGGCATATTTTGTGCACCGATACGGTCAAAAAAATCATAAACATGACCCATGCGATTGCAATTTGTGAAATGTAGGGGTTTGAATGGTTTGCGTTGACCGAAATAATTTACACGTGGTTTATTTGCAAAAATAGATTTTTCTTTGTAATTATTTTACAAACTAGAATTTCTTTTCAAATCGAAACAAAACATGACCAAATGACCAAAACGACCATAATAATCATATTTGTACACATGATCTTGTTTATGATTTACACTATGTGTGTGTACATGTGTATGTGATGAGGAGGCTTGATGGGATGCACAATCATGAATAGGCTTGTCATTTTTTTGTGCATTATGACAAAATTGGGCTAAATGGCCTTTAAGACCGCAAATAGAGCATTTGTAAATTTTGTCATACATGTGTGCATAGTGAATAGGTTTTTTAGAAGAATTAACATTGTACTTTGCACACAAGTCCATAAGCTTTTTATTATTAGCAATACAAGTGTTTAGTGTTGAATCTAAGGTTGATATACGTTTTTTCATTTAATTCAACTCATCATTGTGCATATAAGCATTGCTACTAGAAGTAAGATAAACATGATTATTCATCATAGATTTTAACTTATCTACTTCTAACATGGCATCACGTTTTTCATGAAGCAAACTAGCATTTTCTAATCTCAAATTTTTATTGCATTCTTTAAGAATTATATTTTCATTTGCAATGAAATTAAACTTAATGGCTAGGGTTTCATGAGTGGATTTTATATTCACATACTTACTCTTTACATCAATATAGCAATTGTGTAATTTTTCAAACTCAAGAGCAAGCTCATCAAAAGTAATAATATCATCATTGTCAAGCTTGCATACCTCACTAGGGTTTTCACCTAGTGGTAGTGTACATGGAGATGAGGCTTCTTTAGAACTCAAAGCGGGATTTTCCAACGCTTGTTGAATAGCCTCCAAGTCCCCTTGATGTGCTTCAATGAATTTTCATAGGGTGTAAGCACTATCAAAATGAGCAAATTTGTTAGAAAAAGATGAGTGAAAGACACTAAGCAAATATTCTAACAAAAGCTTGTTCATATTAAACATTCTCTTATCATCTTTATTCCACTTGGATTTTTTTGAAGTGGGAATAATATAAGCATCCTTAATAATTTCCCATAAATCGAATTGTTTAGATTAAACAAAAAGTTTGAATCTAACACGATATTGAGCATAGGGAAAATATCCAAATGAGGAGCAACATTAATAGCATAACCTAAACTGGATGCATCATATATATCCATAATGATTATGTGCAAGAAAAATATAATCAACACTAGATTAGCAAAAAAAACGATAACTTGGATCTTTAATTCAAGACGGTTAGTCCTTAAATCAAAGAGCACCAAGCTCTGATACCAATTGTTAGACCCTAGAAGGGGGTGATTAGGGTCTTATGCTAATCTAATCCTGATTAAATTCTAATTAAAATTATATTGATTAATTTGTTCTTGCAAGAATGATATGAGATAGATATGAGCAAGAATAATATGAATAGCCACAAATAAAATATACGCTAAGCAAAACACAAACACACGATATGCTTACGAGGTTTGGTCACCACGATCTACGTCCCCGCTCCTCACCTCGAGGAGATATCCACTATCACAATCCGGTTTGGAAGCCGAAACTTCTACACACTCGGTTTACAAGTTTACCGAAAACTCTCACACAACAAATATTATGCAATCACACTTTACACACTAAGTGTAGGGACCTAGCCCGTGTCCTCCTCCTCAAGTGCTCAGATGCAACCTCTCCCTAGGTTCGTCAACCGACGCCACTCCTATTGGATTCGACCTCGTCTCACGCGTCACACTTCTCTCGGTGTACAAGTGTATTACAAGTGATACTCACAATAATAATTAAATACAATGATTTGTTCTCGATAACAAATGAGAACACAATGAAGCTCACACTCACTAAATCACACACCACTACTCACAATATATAGTATGGAATATTAAGCTCAATACAGTGTGTGTGATAACAGTGAATGAAAATATGTAACTCAATAAATATAGCTAAGATATGAAAATAAAGTTATAAGCTATATGAAAAGATGAGTTAGGAAAACTTCTCAATAAATAAGAGGAACAGTAGAGGATGACGAGGAAAGGATCCTCAGTTAAATTGAAGGCCTCTTCTTGTTGTAGAAAACTTCTTTTGAAACAGATAATCAGAATCAGCTTAAGCAGCTCTTTAAACACACTTAAACTTTTGTTAAAACTTCACTGTAAAAACAAAACTTAGTATTTTGAAAGAGAAGATCAATGGGGTATTTATACCCACTCAAAATATCAGCCAAAACCAACTTGAAAAGACCAAAATAGACCCAGGGAATCAAATGAGAATATAACCGTTGAGAAAACAATGATGAGTTCGGCGGTCGACCGTGGAAATCTTGCGGTCGACTGCGAAGCACAAAAATACTGAAAAAGAACTTTAAAAGCTGGCGGTCGACCGCAGCGATCGACCGCGAAAGTCTCTGGATGAAGCCACGGTCGATCGTCACGGTCGACCGCAAATAAATAAAATCCATACTATGAAAATTAACTGCTGGCGGTCGACCGTGGCGGTCGACCGTAAACTGATACATGGCAATATACAGGTTTTGGACTAATTTCAAAAATGCGTTAAAAATATCAATTCAATTCCAAAAATAGTAAAACTTTGGGGAAAGTTTCTAAATGATAAAATAAACATGTTTGAAAAGGAATTTTTGGAAATGAAATTTTCGTTTGTGAAAACACACCGTTTTTGAAAAGTGTTAAAAAAACCTGTTTTTCGCGAATATGAAAATTGAGATATGACTTGTAAACACGTATATATATATCATGCATACATTATATATATAATAAAGTATGAATTACTCTTATACCTAGGTGAATGCACACACATGAACTTAAATCTTTAACTCTTGATTGTCGTGTGTTGAATTACTTGAAAAGAGAAAAACCAAACAACGAAAACTAGAAAATATATTAGCTATAAATTGTTTGACAAATCATCATCAAAACTATAGGGTCAACACTCTCAAGTGTTCAACAAAAGGCTTCACTCTGCTCCAAGCTTCCTCTGGCATCATGTCTTTCACTGACAACGTTGGGCATCTATTAAGAACATAAAATGCCCAGTTCATCGCATCTGGCCAGAACATCTTCGGAACATCTTTCTTAATCAATAAACTCCTCACCATATTCATCACAATCCTGTTCTTTCGTTCTGCTACACCGTTTTGTTGCGGTATATAGGCAGTGGTCAATTGCCTCTTGATTCCACTCTTTCTACAATAATCGTTGAACTCACTTGATGTGAACTCTCCTCCACGATCTGTTCTTAAACATTTAATGGACAAACCTGTCTCCTTTTCTACGCAACTCTTAAATAACTTAAAAGAAGCAAATGCATCTGCCTTATGAACAAGAAAGTGTGCCCAAACCTTCCTACTAAAGTTATCGATGAAACAAATAAAGTACCTCTTGTGGCTGTTGGAAATAGGAGAGATTGGGCCGCAAATATCAGCATGAATTAGCTTCAACTTCTCTGACACTCTCCATGTGCTTTTCTTCGAAATAGCATCTCAGTGTTGCTTCCTTTCAAGCAATCAATACATATAGCTTCAGACTTAGAAAAACTCGACAAACCCCTCACCATTCCTTTGTTTTGTAGAGTCTTAAGTCCTTTGTGACTGAGGTGGCCATATCTACGGTGCAGAGATGAGCTAGGTCTTAAGTGGTTGCTTGGAGACACACTTCCTTTGTTTCCTTCTTGATTGGTTGTGTGTTTGATAGCAATACAAACATCTGATTGGTTGTCATGTTGGTTTGAATGATCAAACATTTCGTGGGATGGTAGATTTGGTACTGATTTGACTGCATTAGAACGGCTATGACCTTTTCTTGCAGCTGGCCTATACTGAGAAGGTGACTTCTCAACTCCGGGACATAAAACACATATTTTACAAGATGGCTAACACCTTCCAAAGACAATCGCACACTTCCTTTGCCAACAACATTTATTTTTGTATGATTGCCCAATCTGACCACCTGTTTGAATCCTTCTTCCAAGTCATAGAAAAGAGATGAATCACAACACATATGGTTGCTACAGCCTGAATCAATGAACCACACATCATCTCAATTCACTCCATGTGACTCAACATAGGCCATTAGTAGCATCTCCTCCGACTCATCCAGTTTTGCATAATTTATTCACTCCATGTGACTCAACATAGGCCATTAGTAGCATCTCCTCCGACTCATCCAGTTTTGCATAATTTGCTTGCTTCCCCCAACTAGGACACTCGTAATAGTAGCATCTCCTCCGACTCATCCAGTTTTGCATAATTTGCTTGCTTCCCCCAACTAGGACACTCGTAACGGAAGTGTCCGAGTTGATGATATTTATAGCACTCAACAGTTGCCTTATTGTAGTTTTGACGATCCCTGCCTCTGCCTCTTCCTCCTCTGAAAGCAGCTCTCCCATGTCCTCCTCCACCATAACCCTCATCATGTGACACCTTGAGTGTGTGTTCCTCTCCACCATCCTTCTTGAACTTCTGCTCATGAACAAGAAGTGAACTTTGTAAGGCATCCACGGAGAGCTGATCAATATCATTTGCTTCTTCTATGGAACAAACAATGTAATTCCATTTTTCAGTGAGAGTTCTCAAAATCTTCTCAACTATCTTGACATCAGTCATATCTTCCCCACAATTCCTCATGTCGTTTGCAACCACCATTACACGACCAAAGTAGTCAGTGATCGATTCCCTTTGCTTCATTGCCAGAACCTCAAAAGTCCTGCGAAGACGATTAAGTTGGGCCCTCTGTACGCGAGCGTTGCCCTGACATTTCATCTTCATGGAATCCCAAAACTATTTGGATGTCTCCTTCTGTGTGATTGTCTTTAGAGTTGACTTGTCAAGGGATTGAAACAAGTAATTCTTGGCCTTCAAATCTTTCAGCTTCACCCCCTCTAGGGTTCTTCTTTGTGTAGCCATCGGCACCTCTTCATCATCAGGTTGTGAGTAGCCTGATTCCACAACAACCCAGTATTCCTTGGATCGGAGGAGATTCTCCATGACCATGTTCCAGTGATCATAGTCACTATCAAACTTTGGAATAGAAGGTTGAGCAAAGCCACCGTTTGCTTCTGACCCCATCTTTCGCACACTCCCTTACTTGTTTTTCTCTCTCACTCACTCTTTCAAGTTCTCAAGTCAGGCCCTCGGGATGGCTCTGATATCAGAATGTTAGATGCAAAGAACAATTCTGGAATCATATTCATTGAAAGAGAAACAGCAGCTATTAAATAGCTTTTACCGAATAAAAACAGAAACAAACTACAACCCACATTCTAATATAAAGATTGGAACTTTATTCTAACAGAATAACAAACTAAAACTGAATATCAAACTAAATCTTATCAATATTTTCTTTCTTCAAAGAAAATTTCCAGTGTCTCTCTTTTCAGCTTAGGGGTTGTTTGCTTGTTTTCCGAAAAAAAAATTAGAAATGGAAAACTCATATTTCAACTCATTTCAAGATATTTCAATACATTTCCCGCATTTCTTTTTTCCGCAATGAAATCACTGTCACGTCACCGCCACGTCGCATAAGAAACAATTCCAGCCGCAATAGTAACAGTGTTTTGATTTCCATTTCTTGTGTTTGTTTGAACATAAAAAAAGGAAATAGAAATCAGCCACAATAGTAATAGTGTTTTCAGTAATTAAATAATTTATTTTATTCATAGTCACTGTTTCAACAATGCTTTTAGTAATTAAAAATTTAATGAAGTGACATTTCCAGGTGTTTTCAGAGGTTTTTGGTGTGAAAACACTTTTCTCAAAAATCTGAAGTGGCATCCTACATGACACCCTTATTTCTTTAAATCACAAAACGAAACAAACATGTGATTTGAAAATCGGTTGAAACCAAAATCCTACGTGGTAGAAGGGGATTTCTTGAAATCTGGTGTAGCGGGGGTTTTCTCATATTATTTTTTTAGCAAACAAACAGCCCCTTAGAGTAAGGAGAAAGCACTTGAGGACCAATATAAGGTATTGTTGTCATGAATTGCTGTGAGCATGAAACTCATTAGTAAGTTAATTACCACTGGCTTGTGAAATTCATTTGAAATATAGAAAGGTGTTTGAGGTGGTACTTGTTAGACCCTAGAGGGGTGGTGATTAGGGTCTTGTACTAATCTAATCCGATTTTATGCCAATTAAAATTAATTAACAAATATATTCTTACAAGATAGATATACAAAGAGTTATGTGCAAGAATATGCAATATACACAAGGTGATATATCCTAGCAAAGAGGTATACTATATGATATATGCAAGGATATGCAAACACAAGGGTAACATAAACAAATGATATAGTGGATGAAATAAATAATGAGAGAAATGCTATAAAGATGAACAAATATAAGTGTGCTAAGCCAAACTCAAACAAGCAATATGATCACGGAGTTCGGACCTTCCGTCCTACGTCTCCGCTCCCCACTCCCGGGGAGAAATCCACTATCACAATCCGGTTTGGAAGCCAGAACTTCTACACACTCGGTTTACAAGCTTACCGAAAACTCTCACACAACAAACACTATGCAATCACACTCTACACCCACACAAGTGTTGGACCTAGCCGTGTCTCCCTCAAGTGCTCGATTATAACCTCTCCCTAGGTTCGTCAACAAACGCCACTCCTCTTGGAACGATCCCCGACTCTCACCACACACTCCTCACTCGGTGTACAAGTGTATTACAAAGTGAATCTCACAATTAGGCTTAATACAATAATTGATTGTTCTTAACTATGGATGAGAACACAATGAAAGCTCACACTCAATGTTACAACCTCTCACCAACCCACAATATATTATGAATGCAAATACAATAAGCTCAAGTGGGTGTGTGTAACAATGAGATAAAATAAAATCTAACTCAAATAGCAAACTAGCAATAATAAGAATATGAAAATCAATAATGAAATTGCTAGAGAAAAGAGTTAGAAAACTTCTCTATGAACACAAAGAAGAGGATGAAGAAGATTGAGAATGATCCCTCAATCTGCAGTGAAAACTTCCTTCTTTGTAAACAGAAACCCAAACTTAAACAAACAGTAAAAACCTTAAACCCTTGTTTAAAAACTTTTCTTAGCTACTTGATAACTGAGATCAAGGAGGGTATTTATAACCTCCAAAACCTTCAGCCAACAACCCCAAGCAAAAAACAAAAATTGCCCCAGAAAATCAGCTCAGAAAAATAGCCGTTGGGAACCAACGAATATATTGGCGGTCGACCGGAAATTCCTGCGGTCGACCGATGGAGCTCTCGGTCGACCGGACCGGTCGACCGACAAACTCTCTGCTGCCCACTGATGGCTGAACATATAAGCGGTCGACCGGTGCGGTCGACCGAAAACTGATACTACAGTAAAACATGTTTTAAAAACTAATTTTGAGACTTTGGAAAATATGTTAAAAATAACAAATGAAGTCCAAAAATAATGAAACTTTGGGAAATGTATATAAACATGTAAATGAACATGTTACAAAAAGAATTTTTCAAATTGCATTTCCCATTTGTGAAAAATCATCATTTTGCAAAATAGTTCAAAACACAAAAAAATAAACATGTGAATTTTGATATTTTGGCTAAACCATGTTTTAAAACTTTGCACAATGATTATATAGACTTTAAACCATGTTTTAAAACTTTGCACAATGATTATATAGACTTAATAAAATATGTATATGATTATTGTTATGTCCAAAAATTAAGAATGTGATATTTTCACAAATACATTAGAGAATGAAACATAGGAGTATGTATATGAAAATATATTTGTTTTATATCTAAGTAGTTAAACCAAATCAAAATAATAAATATGAAATATGTAATCTCATATTTATATACATGAGAAACCAAAAACTATGCATGTATATATATAACTATATATATACATAGAAAACAAAACTTATGTATACATAGAAAACAAAACGGGAGGTGAGCTGCCAGCGTAGGAAATTTCCTACGCTGGCGCCACGTGTCAAGTTGTTATTCGCTGGATATTTATTTATAGAAGTAACAGATTTCCGAGTGAGGGAATTCATAAAAAATTGAGGACCTAAATGTAAAAATCATAAATCAGGAGAGATTATGATCGGCCTTTCCTAATTATTCCAGCGCCGGCAAACCTCCGCAGCCCTCCTTCCCCAAGCGCCGGCAAACCTCCGCAGCCCTCCTTCCCCAAGCGCCGGCAAACCTCTGCAGCCCTCCTTCCCCAAGCTCCGGCAAACCTCCTTCAACTTCGTGTCCCAAAAGCGTCACTGATCTCCGCCGATCTCTTCGCCGTCCCAGGCCTCATTGCCGGCGCCCTCAAGTACTCTATCAATCTTTTTCTCGAATGCATTGTCGGCAATGATCTCAAGCGAACCCAATTCTTTATTTCTCTCTGATTTTCACCCCCTTTCACTTTCTCTCTGAACCCATTTCTTTTGCTCGGACGCGTTGTCGGCGATGAACAGTAATTTGAGGGAGTTTCTCAATAGTATGGGAAGGAGGAGTACTAGATTCAACCTGACTTGTGGTTTCAGTCCTCTTGCTGTCGACTTCCCTAAAACCGGGGTATTCGTTAATTTGCCCGCTTCTTACAAGCCTAAACTCTATCCTGACTTCATGAACACGTATGAACACATAACATACAAGTTAGAGAAGATCATTGGAAGATTATACCGAAAGATAATATCTGCTTCTGATGAGGACAACTCTTCTGAGCTCATTTCGTGATCTGCTTACGAGGACTTACCATATGATCAAGCTTTTGATATTTCGGAGGCATTTGATTATCTCACTAAAGCCTGGGAAACCAAAGTTCATATGATCGACAATTGAATGCATTGTTAGGGCAATTCAGAGTTGATAAAGAGGGAGAGGTTGTTACAGGGCATATTTGTTCTTTGGGAAGCTACAACAGCAGAAAACAATGGGAGATCAAAGAGAGGCTCAAGAATGCATATTATGCACTTAATAAGAAATATAGATGCTCTTTTGAGGAGATTGGGGGCCATTTATCTCAGCTAAGTGATGACGAGAGGAATCAGATATATGAAGAGTAAGGCAGCGGCATGGTATCAAGTGACTTACCACCCGAAATGAGTGAAGAAGTCTGTCGAAATGAAGGATGGCGAGAGGGATCAGATATACGATGATTGGCTTGTTTATTTCTTCTCATTTCAACTATGCTTGAGTCCTTGATTTGGTGATACATAGATGTTATGAAATAATAAAATTATAGGACAGGAATAAGGGAAGTGTAAAATAAATAAATAAATAAATAAAATTCTAACTGAGGGAAAATTGGAAGCACTTCTGTTGTCATGAGTATAGCTGAATTGAGAACTGCAGATCAGTTCAGCAAGAGGGTTTGAAGAAGAGGTTCATTGTGGTAGTTTACCTTTTTCTAGAAGGATATGAACCAGCACATCCAGTTACTAGAGCTATGTGAATGGTGATTTATTTCAATCTCTTAATGCTTGTTCATCACTTTATTTCAATCTTTTAATAATAGTTCATCATTTTTAATACTTGTGTATCACCCAGTCAAGCATCTACGGGCAATGCTCCAATCAAATTTATGCCTGAATTTGAGTTTTTACATCCTGCCAACCTGTAGTATGTGTACGGTTCACATCCTTGTAATGGATTATTGAATTCATGCATACAGGTAAAAAGAAGTAAATTTGACCTCAAATTTCTGCCTTAAGCTTAAAAAGAAGCTCCTGAGAGCAATTTGATTACACTTCCGTGGAGTCAACAAAGAGGAGCTATTAGTGAGAGGGTACACTATTACACGGTCATAAAGTTAGAATTTCCACGTGACTGATGAGGTAACTGGGGTAATCTCTTATGAACTATTTTACATTTGTCAAAAAGATCAAGAGAAAGTATCATACAGTGGGGAGGGAACTTTTTAGCATAAAAAACTAACACAACATTGATCCCTATAACTTTCGACATCCGAAAACATTACTGGAGTTGCCTAGTCTTGAGCCACCTACCGATGCAGTGAAAGTGGAAAGCTTGATTGCAAACTCCTGGTACAAAAGTTCACAATCAAATATCAATTTAACTCCTGGTACAAAAGCTCATAACGTCTAAATCAAACATTAAAGAAAAAATCAGTTCCTCATTCATCAAGCTTGCCTATAACATGATTTCATTCCATCAAACATATGATCTTCATATCCATGCAGAGCATTGTATTCTGACACAAACAGAATGTTGGCAACTGCCTAAAATTCACAAACAATAGCAAAGCTGTAATTTGTTTTTCAGATCCAAAATGACTTGCTGCTAGGAGTCGGATGATGAACTTCAAATTATGCCTGTATAAATAAACAAGAATCAGATGAATAAATAGAACTAGCTGTAAATAAAATGTATCAATCAACTAATGTAAGTATCTTTTTGAACAATTAAACATTAAAATACCTAGTTATTTGACGGGTTAGCAACAAGAGAATTAGTGCAACTACTTTTATAATGTCCCTTTTGACCACATCTGCCGCATGTCCTGCAACTACTTTTATAATGTCCCTTTTGACCACATCTGCCGCATGTCCTCTTTTTTATCTCTTTTTTTTCCTGTGCTTGTTCAAGTCCCAATTTCAATCTGCTAATTGTTCTCGGCCGCCCCTTATGTTTTGTAGACTTGAGAGGGTCACGAACAATGATTTGAGGGAGTTTCTCAATAGTATAGGAAGGAGGAGTACTAGATTCAACCTGACTTGTAGCTTCAATCCCCTTGATTTGCTTAGCACTAATATCTTTTTCATGCTTTTCCATCAAATTAGAAAAAAAATGTATCTATTTCATCAAAGACCATAGGTGATTCAGGTGCCCACTCCATCACGTTATTAAATTTTGCTCTCAAAGCCCAAGAGCGCAAAGTAGTCCATTGTTCTCTATTACTATTAAAGTTTTTCTCCAGCAACACATGAGAGACTCCAATATTACGGTGCCTTGCATTCATTGTCCATCTATGCATAATGTATTCTTGAGGAATTCTTACCAACTGATTCGATATCATAATATGAATGACATGCCTACATAATATTCCATCAGTCTCAAACATAGCACATGTACATGTTATTCTTTGTTCATTTTGATTATAAACTACATTCTCCCATACACTTCTTTCAGTAGAGATCGAGCCAACTATGTATTTAGAAATTGATTCTTCTTTTCCGATCTCATCATAAAACAAAGATACAGAACCTTTAAGCTCATCCTGAAACCTCTCAAATATAGCTCTTGTATATAATTCTCCAGCTTGAATCTCAATCGGATGGTTTAGATGCATCACAGGCTTTGTATTCAAAGTAACAAAATCTTCACTTAATTCTTGAGAACGACGCGACAATATTGGTTTATCATATTGCTCAACAAAATCGGGCAACAATGTTTGTGAGTTGACGTATGTGTCAAAGAAGGCATTTATACTTTCACTACGTTGGCTTGATGTCATTCCTGCAAAGAATGTATCTTTGAGATAGCATGGAACCCAATGTGTTCTTTTTCTGTACATGGTTTGTAACCAACCTTCCTCATGTTCTTCTATATTGAACTTTTCTTTTAATTCATCCCATTGCTGAATACATGTTTCAATTGTCTTGCTATGCCACCATCTATTAAAGTAGTTCGCAAACTCTTCTCCATGCAACTTTTGTAGAGATAATAAATGATCAATCATGTGCTTGCCAAGATGCCATTTGCAATAACGATGTCGAGTATTTGGAAACACTCTTTGAATGGCATTGCATATAGCTTTGTCCTGGTCTGTAATAATAGCATGCGGAACCACTCCATTCATACATTTAACCCACTAAGTAAACAACCAGACAAATGTGTCTTCTTCCTCATCTGCAAGTAGTGCACAACCAAATAAAGTTGACTGCTTATGGTGGTTAACACCAGTAAATGGAGCAAAAGGCAGTGCCAACTTGTTAGTTCTATATGTAACATCAAAAACAACAATGTCATGAAACTTTAAGAATGATGCCCTGGCTCGTCCATCTGCCCAAAATACACTCCTCATAGTTCTTGTAGTATCTAATTCAATAGCAAAATAAAAATCTGGATCAAATGCCCTTTTATCTATGAATTTTTGAATGACTAATATGCATTCATTACCCATGTTATTCTTTCTCTGTTTTCTGATATGATCACTACATTGTTGCGGTGTGACGATTTCCTCCCGATTCCCACTACCAACATTTATTACTCGTGAAATTATTGCTGGCGGAAGCCCTTCTTCATGCAAATTATCAATCAGACTTTGACAACCTTTTGTTCGATGTAACTTTCGATGTGAATAATGATTCTTAACCTTATCTAGACTAGTCAACTCGTGATTTGTATGCTTATTAACAAGTTTGCTCACTATCCATGTTCCTTTATCAGTATGATTGACCCGCAACATCGCCTTGCAACCTACTCTTGTTTTCGTCAAAAGTTGCCTTCATCATTGATTTCATTAAAACTTTAAGCGTTACAAATGAAATTCAAATAACGAAAATAAAAATTACAACTTTTCGAAAATAAACACAAGATCCATTCGTCGTCTCTTGCTTGCATGGGTCTTTAGCCTGTGATGGGGACGTCGATATCCGTGGACTACCTGGCAATCAGATCTGATCCAGAAAAATCGGGCAGAGCTTTGTCGATCCGCGATGAGATCTAGAAGCTTGAAGCGCCTATCTCGGCTAAAGCGAGATATTTGCTCTTCTTAGGATTACCAGCGAAGGGTAATGCTAAGGAACGGACACGGGTGATGAGGAACTCCCTTGTGTTGAAACGCTCGACCACTCTTCACTGCAGCAGGGCTTCGCCAACTCTCCAAAAATCCAGATCTCCAAAAAGTGAGGCCTAAGGCTCCTATTTATAGGCAAGAGGGGGTACAGGGCGTTGGGACACCCCTGGGGTGTTTCGACTTTCCCGAGACACCCCGGGTGTCCCAGTTCAGCCTGAGACGCTCCGTTACGTATGTTTGATTGTTTCCGCCGTAAATCCTTCGTCTGAACTCGGATTTGAGTGATTCCAAGTGCGCTGGAAGCCTGACAAAGAGTTCTACCCGCTCTGATGATTGGATTATCTGTAGGATGAACGATATATGGAGGGCGTTATTCCTTTTGTAAACACCGCAGGGTTCCTGATTAGCCCGTGCCTTCGTAGTTTGTCGATTTGCTTCAATCGTTCATCGACATCAATCGAACTCCTGTGGATCAGATAGTGACGTTCATCGTCGTTCTTTAACACTGAGCTGTTCGTGGAGACCTATAGGCAATTTTCGATGCCTACAACTCTAGTATCTCTTCGACGCTTTACTATTTTTCCGTGCTCTCTCTTATCATTTGTAGATTTTAGACCCTCCTTATTACAAACAAATTTTTTTGATATGAGTTCTTTTCCTTCTTTCCTAGAGTAATTGCCTGAGCTTATGCGAACACTGAATCCTTTTATTTTTGCATAATCATTGTAATAATGATACGCAGCAGTATATGTGGGAAATTCCATTCCAATCCATGGTTCCACAATATTGGACTTGCCATTATCAATGGAATTAACATGATTAATTTTCTCTTGCTCCAACTCATGCTCTGTATTACTACAATCAACAAATCCACTTCCTTCCACATTTTCAGTCATCAAACTGTCTACATGAACATCAACCATATTGAAATTGACCTAAACAATATTAATCAATTTCCATTAGTATAATTACATCATCCAAAGATTGAAAATACATCAAACAGTTAAATAAAAAATTAAAGAAATTACACAACACATGCAAAATTTTAGAAATTAAAATTAAAATTCAAGAACACAGAAGACGTAAGAAATTAAAGAGATCACACAACGATGATTATGATGGTCACTGGATGCTTTTAATTCTTTGTTATCATCCTTTAAGTCTGCTTAAAGAGCTTGAAAGCAATCGAAGCCCCTGGTTTTTGAATTGAAAACACACAACGATGATTATGATGGTACTTCAATAATAAGGTAAAAGGTAATGGCCAGTAAGAAAACTGCCCAATTACTTAAGTTTTTGATTCATCGTGTACTCCTGACAAATCCCTCTTGCATATTTTAAAGATATACTATGGGCAAGTGGGAGGTATTTTAAATGTATACCATCTAGAATGACAAATTGTCAAGAGATTGAATGCTTTTGGCTTATTGTTTAAAGTCAAAAATAAAAAAAATTAAATAACTTAGAAGGAGATGTCTTCTGCACTTCTCATACCAACTGAAAACATGCAACACATGGATTTCATACACCCTAAGCCTGAGTTACGAACCTCAATTAAGCCACGCAATCTTCGTTTTTTACCTATTTTGCTGGTTAATTAGAAAGAAAATGCTGATTCTATCCTTGCCAGGGACACAATGCTGCAGATATAACTAGCTAGAAGCCATGGCATGCATGAAGTTTTATCACATCAAGAAACAAGCCAAGGTTTTCAATAATTTTCACTAAATCAAGAATGGCTGGAGGTTGTCTAAATGAAAAATTAAAGAAATTACACAACACATGCAAAATTTTAGAAATTAAAATTAAAATTCAAGAACACAGTTAGATAGAGATACATACATTGAAACTTAATATCGAACAGAACAAATCAAGGGGTACATTGAAACATTAATAAATAAATAAATAGAGATACATACATCTTCATGTAAATAATTGTTTAAAATTAAATTTTCACATATTAGAAAAAATGAGTGATTGTTTTCTTACAGTGATTTCGCCGGCGCTCGCTTGGGGAAGGAGGGCTGCGGAGGTTTGCCGGCGCTTGGGGAAGGAGGGCTGCGGAGGTTTGCCGGCGCTTGGGGAAGGAGGGCTGCGGAGGTTTGCCGGCGCTTGGGGAAGGAGGGCTGCGGAGGTTTGCCGGCGCTTGGGGAAGGAGGGCTGCGGAGGTTTGCCGGCGCTTGGGGAAGGAGGGCTGCGGAGGTTTGCCGGCGCTTGGGGAAGGAGGGCTGCGGAGGTTTGCCGGCGCTTGGGGAAGGAGGGCTGCGGAGGTTTGCCGGCGCTTGGGGAAGGAGGGCTGCGGAGGTTTGCCGGCGCTTGGGGAAGGAGGGCTGCGGAGGTTTGCCGGCGCTTGGGGAAGGAGGGCTGCGGAGGTTTGCCGGCGCTTGGGGAAATTGTTTGTTAAACATCATCAAAACAAGAAGGCCAATAATCTCCCCCTTTTTGATGATGACAAACAATTTACAAAAAGAAATATATGCATGAAGGAAATAAATATATAATTTATAATTCACATGCATATAAACAAGAAAGAATATACTCACAATATTTCTCCCCCTTTGACAACATCAAAAATGGGACAAAAAAATTAAGAGAGCGAAAGCTCCCCCCTATCAATAAGCATAGGTGAGTATAAAAACAAACATAGAATAGGGAATAGCTCCCCCTATCAAAATGCCATATAAAATATATGCAATAAAGATCAAGGCAAAACATGTGAGCAATCATACATGAATATGCTAAATATCACTCACATACAAAAAGATAACGAGAACACATATAAATATGTCAATATGAAAATAGTGTCTCATTAACACAAAAAAAGAAAAACTATGTAAAATAGGTTTATGAAAACAAATGAGAGAATAACATAAGAATCATGCAAAAAGAGTTTTCAAATGAAAACAAATCAACCAAATGAAATCATAAATCAACCACAATCACATAAAACCAAACCATCATTGATTTTCAAAAATCAAGAGAGGCAACTATATCTAGCTCTTGAGCTAGTATCAACCCATATGAACATTTTAGCACCCGGTAAACAAGATTTGGGAATAAACACCTAATAATCCGGAGGGTTATATAAACATAGTCCTCTCATCAAAACAAAAATAATAATCATGAAAACAAAAGATTTGATACAAAAAAAATTATTTTCATAACCAAAAGATTTTAAAGCATAATTTTCAAAACTAAGAAAAAGAAAGATTAAAACATTAAAATTCTTGGTTTAAAAATCAAATTTGTTTTGGTACCCAAGAACTCTTGGTACCAAAAGATTTAGGGACATGATCCCTATCATTTAAGCTCAAAGCCCTAGGGTTATGAACCCTCTTAGGCACATGTGGTGCACTAACACAGTCAAGAGATCCATTTGTTTTTGTGGACCATTAGCTCGTGCACGGGAATCATTTGCAAATAAAGATTTTCTTTTAAAATTATTTTGCAAATGAGAAACATTCTTAAACAATGGTCTATTTGGAACATATTGCAATTTAGAAGCTTTTTGTATATCAAAACAAAATTTAGCAAGATGTCCAAACCTACCACAAACATCACATTTAAAAACATGTGGTCTATTGGAAGCATTTGTCAAATGAGATTTTCTTTTCAAATCAAAGCAATATTTGGCCAAATGACCAAAACGACCACAATAATCACACTTGAACACACTAGCATGCTTATGATGAACTTTGTGAGAATGAGCATGTGAATGTGTAAGTGTACAAGATGAAGAAGCTACATGAGATGCACAAGGAGCATTAGAATTCTTATGTTTGTGTGCATCATAGCAAAATTTAGATAAATAACCTTTTCGGCCGCAAAAAGAGCATTTGTAAATTTTGCTATATATGTGTGCATGATGAGTAGATGATGACTTAGATTTGACACACATATCCATAAGCCTCTTATGATTATTAATGCATGTTTTTAAAGTTGAATGTAAAGATGAAATGCTTTTATTCATAAGATTCAAATCTTCATTTTTAGGCACATATATATTTTTATTAGAAGTAGAACATAAATAGTCATTTATAAAGGAAGCAGTATTATTTTGTATGTTCTTTACTTCTAACATGGCATTATCTCTTTCATGAGTTAAACTAGCAACGTTTGAAGTTAAAGAAACATGATCCAATTTTAATTTTTTATTGTTTTCTTTAAGGATCACATTTTCATTTGAAATAGTTTCAAACTTAGATGCTAACAACTCATGATCGGATTTCAAAATTTCATGCTTGCTTTGTAAATTAATGAAATCATTTTGCAATTTGTTAAAGGCATGTAATAATTTTTCACTAGCACAAGCAAGTTCATCATTAGGTAAATCATTAATGGTTTCGAACTTGCAAACCTCACTAGGGCTATCGCCTAGTGGCCGTGTGCATGATGAAGCTCCAATATTACTTGAGGAAGAATCCGCCGGAATCCTTTGGATCTCCTCCAAGTTACCATGATGTGCTTCTATGAATGTCCACAATTTGTAAGCACTATCAAAGGAAACAAGCTTGTTAGAAATAGAGGAATCAAGTGCATTATGCATATATTCTAACACAATCTTGTTCATGGTAAACAATCTTTTGTCATTTTTACTCCACTTGGATTTCTCCATAGTGGGTACAATATAAGCATCATCAATAATTCCCCATAAATCAATATTTTTAGATTGCACAAAAATACACCATTGGGCATAGGAGAAATTATCTAATTTAGGAGCAATATTAATGGCATAACCTAAACCATGCATATCCATAATATAAAAGGCAAGCAAGATACAAATAAAGCTCAAAATTAGATTAGCACAATAAGCTAACTTGGATCTTTAACTCAAGGCGATTAGACCTTAAATCAAAGAGCACCAAGCTCTGATACCAATTGTTAGACCCTAGAGGGGGGGTGATTAGGGTCTTATGCTAATCTAATCCGATTTTATGCCAATTAAAATTAATTAACAAATATATTCTTGCAAGATAGATATACAAAGAGTTATGTGCAAGAATATGCAATATACACAAGGTGATATATCCTAGCAAAGAGGTATACTATATGATATATGCAAGGATATGCAAACACAAGGGTAACATAAACAAATGATATAGTGGATGAAATAAACAATGAGAGAAAGGCTATAAAGATGAACAAATATAAGTGTGCTAAGCCAAACTCAAACAAGCAATATGATCACGGAGTTCGGACCTTCCGTCCTACGTCTCCGCTCCCCACTCCCGGGGAGAAATCCACTATCACAATCCGGTTTGGAAGCCGGAACTTCTACACACTCGGTTTACAAACTTACCGAAAACTCTCACACAACAAACACTATGCAATCACACTCTACACCCACACAAGTATTGGACCTAGCCGTGTCTCCCTCAAGTGCTCGGTTACAACCTCTTCCTAGGTTCGTCAACCAACGCCACTCCTCTTGGAACGATCCCCGACTCTCACCACACACTCCTCACTCGGTGTACAAGTGTATTACAAAGTGAATCTCACAATTAGGCTTAATACAATAATTGATTGTTCTCAACTATGGATGAGAACACAATGAAAGCTCACACTCAATGTTACAACCTCTCACCAACCCACAATATATTATGAATGCAAATACAATAAGCTCAAGTGGGTGTGTGTAACAATGAGATAAAATAAAATCTAACTCAAATGCAAACTAGCAATAATAAGAATATGAAAATCAATAATGAAATTGCTATAGAAAAGAGTTAGAAAACTTCTCTATGAACACAAAGAAGAGGATGAAGAAAATTGAGAATGTATCCCTCAATCTGCAGTGAAAACTTCCTTCTTTGTAAACAGAAACCCAAACTTAAACAAACAGTAAAAACCTTAAACCCTTGTTTAAAAACTTTTCTTAGCTACTTGATAACTAAGATCAAGGAGGGTATTTATAACCTCCAAAAACCTCAGCCAACAACCCTAAGCAAAAGACAAAAACAGCCCCAGAAAATCAGCTCAGAAAAATAGCCGTTGGAAACCAACGAATATTTTGGCGGTCAACCGGAAATTCCTACGGTCGATCGATGGAGCTCTCGATCGACCGGACCGGTCGACCAACAAACTCTCTGCCGCCCACTGACAGCTGAACATATAAGCGGTCGACCGGTGCGGTCGACCGAAAACTGATACTACAGTAAAACAGGTTTTAAAAGCTGGTTTTAAGACTTTGGAAAATATGTTAAAAATAACAAATGAAGTCCAAAAATAATGAAACTTTGGTAAATGTATATAAACATGTAAATGAACATGTTACAAAAAGAATTTTCCAAATTGCATTTCCCATTTGTGAAAAATCATCATTTTGCAAAATAGTTCAAAACACGAAAAAGTAAACATGTGAATTTTGATATTTTGGCTAAACCATGTTTTGAAACTTTGCACAATGATTATATAGACTTAATAAAATATGTATATGATTATTGTTAAGTCTAAAAATTAAGAATGTGATATTTTCACAAATACATTAGAGAATGAAACATAGGAGTATGTATATGAAAATATATTTGTTTCATATCTAAGTAGTTAAACCAAATCAAAATAATAAATATGAAATATGTAATCTCATATTTATATACATGAGAAACCAAAAACTATGCATGTATATATATAACTATATATATACATAGAAAACAAAACTTATATATATATATATATATATATATATATATATACGAAGAAACCAATAAATGTGTGTGTATAGATATTGAGCTTAACGTACTTAACACACATAATATAAATCCTAAACTAAATTACCCAAGCTATGATCTTGATCTTCATTGTAGCTCAACTTGGTACACGTGCGGATGAAGCTTGAACTTGATCTTTAACTATGAATTGCAAGGCTTCAACCCGACATTCCACCAACCTCCATTTGATATGATCGTTATGGCGCAATCCATCCATCCTCCAACTACGTTGTTTGTCTATAATAAATAAGAAAACACAAATACTAGACAAACAACATTAGTGGTAAATTGTTTGTTAAACATCATCAAAACAAGAAGGCCAACAGTACTATAATACTATATACCATTTTGTGGCATACCATGATGTATGAGGTGACCATCTACCAAGCTGTGCATTTTTTTGAACGTGTAGTGTGCATTAGGACAAAATCTCTAGAAGAATCAGAACTTGTTCTATGCTTGTGCTTCAAGTATGCTAGCTAATTGGTGTACAAAGTTCATTATTTTCATACGTGCTTTATTTTGACAGTATATTAGTTATGCGCCTTTTATTGTTATCTTCTTTAATTAGTAGGTACATAAGCTTAGCCTTTTATTGTTATCTTCTTTAATTAGTAGGTACATAAGCTTACTCAGCAGAGGTCCATTAT